CTTGAATTGCGTCATAATAATTCAAGTAATACGTTTGTAATTCTGAAAAAATGAAAAATGAGTTTTGAGCAAATGACAGTGGTATAACTAATTCCATTATGTCATTTACGTGTCGTTGTATTTGGGTATTAATCTCTTAGAATTCGAAGAAAACTTCTTATTGTTTTCTCCTTAATTTGGTATGTGTCGATGACTGCAGTATCTTCCATTTGAAAAAATACTATCCCCCGAGGCTACGGAGCTGCTAGTTTCTAATTTAGACAAAGTGTTTCCATGGTTATTAGTTTGAGGTGTATGAGTTATGTTTGCTTTTGTCTTTACAATCCTATTGTATGGAATCCTAGAAGGGACATTGTCGCGTTATCGCATTGTCGCCTTTACAAAAACAAGCAAAAGGTGGCAAAATTAATCAAAGTGCGACAACGCGACATTTTGGACATGTGTCGCATTGTCTCTATGTCACATTGTCGCGCTTTCAATAATGTGTTTTAATCAACCAAAGGGCGATATATATAGCGACAATGCGACAAATGGCCAAAATGGTTAATTTTGCCACTTTTTGCTTGTTTCGTAAGGGCGACAACACGACACTGTCCTAACTAAGATTCCATACTATTGTGGGTGGTGGGTAGCCTAGTGGTTAAAGCATTGGCTCGTCACACCAATGACACGGGGTCGATTCCCCACATGGGTACAATGTGTGAAGCCCATTTCTGGTGTCCCCTGCCATGATATTGCTGGAATATTGCTAAAAGCGGCGTAAAACTTAACTATTGTGATTACGATGACCATAACGATGATTCGTCGATCAAACGGTTTCACATGTCCCGCAAGAGCTTAGCCTTTGAATACGTTATGCCGTGATATGATAATCTTTCAGCGATTACGTAAGATGCGATTTGTAACCGAGGCCATTATGAAAGGCTTCTATAGGTGATACAGTTAGCAATTGATTTAAAAAGGTTGAAAAACTGCATCAACACAAAATCTGTTTCCAGCATCTATTTCATTCATGATGATACGTGCACAGACATCCAGGAACAGAAATTCTAAATTTAGGAAGAACTTTATGACTTGTTTGAGTAAAGGAAACTATTTTTGAAACTGGCTTCGATGGCTCTATCAGTGCTCACATAGGGGAGATCTTGCTCTTGCACACAGCACAAATCCGTGAAGATCCTGGTTAGAATTGATCTTCAGTAACCCATGCTTGTCCTAAGAGGCGACTAACGGGATCGGGTGGTCAGGCTTGCTGACCCCAGATACCATTCGGACATTGGCCCAACGTCTGAATGCTATCTGGGACTTGGTTGACACATGCCATGCGTAGATTAATGCTCATGCTGATGATCACTGGATTGTCTGGTTCATACTCGATTATTTACAGACCGCCGCCGTACAGCTGGAATAATATTGCTGAGTGTGGCGTTAAACAACCAACTTTAAAGCTCATACATGATTGGATCTGTGAGGCGACGGTTGACCGTGCTCGCTGACTTTGTTGTTATTATTATTATTATGCTAGCATTTGTATAGCGCCGATATCCAGCTCAGCTCAGCTGCTCAAAGGCGCTTTGTTTTTCCCTCGTTCACTGGATGTTGTAGTCTGTCTCACAGTCCCTGGACCACATTATTTTCCCCACAGCCTAGCCTTCCCTGCAGTGCTAAAGCCCTAAATGAAGCAAGTCTAGATTTCCCCAGGTTCTGAATCTCTGGTCCTTCTAGGGCTCCTTTTCAATTTATAATATTTTTGTTTGTTACTATCAAAATTATATCTATTCAGAGACTAAGCATTAGTCTAACTTGGTTGATACCGTGCCATTTTACTCTGTTGCTCATTATGCCAATCACTTGTTTGTCAAGTCTAGACTCGATCATTCACAGACAGTGGCCATATTAAAATACAAGAAAAAATCTTGTCTTGTCTTGTAATACTGGAGCGCTAAACCATAAAACCCCTGAAGATCCGACTTAGAAATGATCTTCACAAATCCATGCTCATCGTAAGAGACGACTAATGGGATGGGGCGGTCAGGCTCGCTGACTTGGTTGACACCAGTGTATGAAATAAGGCCCGTCCGACAGCCTGAGATGGTCTTGATTTCTGACGGACGGTCTAAATTTACAGCTAGCCAGCCCGATGGTCGGGTAAAATTGTAGATGTTCCATATATCTGAGTAAATTCACTATATTTGGTCCGGTTAAATCCATTTGGGGCTGGTAACATTTTGATGTCTTGCTGGGTTTTTGGCTTATTTCATACACTGTTGACACATGTCATCGTATCCCAATTGCGTAGATCGATGCTCATGATGTTGATCACTGGGTTTACACATTTGTATATATAATCAAGTCATTCATCTTCAGTAACCCATGCTTGTCGTAAGAGGTGACTAACGGGATCGGGTGTTCATTCTCGCTGACTTGATTGACACATGACATCATATCCCAATTGCGTAGATCGAGGTTCATGATGTTGATCACTGGATTGCCTGCATGATTTGCAGACCGCTGCCATATAGCTGGCATATTGCGGCGTAAAACAACAACCAACAACCAAACAACAAAAAATGATATGTTAAAAACAATTCTCGGTGAAGTTCCCGTAAAATGCCTCAAAGGTGTTTTTACTTGACATCTGCCGTGTCGTATCTTGTACGCCTGTCAGTTCATATACTTACTTAATGCTGATCTGTTAATCTGTTATTGTATAGTTAGCATTATCATTGCATAACAGCAATAAAACATCTGCCACAAAAGCAGATAGCGCCAAGCCAACCATCAAAGATCTGTTGTATAAAACGTGCCATTGATTGAAACTTACCGAAGTGTGAAATATGAAAATTGATCTAAACCGAATTCGGATTGTTTGATCTCCATCGCGTCAGTTGTATTTTTTTATTCTTTCGATTTCAAAGTGTTTGTGGAAGCTCGTTTAGATAGAGATAAGTGAAGTCTAATATTATCGATTTTTGAGTAGTAATAGAATGCATGATATCTAAAATTGGCGTTGTTTTTTAGTTTTCTAAAACGAAATCGATAAATCCGTCTTTGAGGTATGGATAATATTGTCATACGTGGATTGTCTGATTAGATTACTAGCACGTTAGAGGGAAACTGTATGATGAAAATCGTTAATTATCAAGATAACATGATAACCTTGAAATATGACGTCATTGAATGTAAAGGGTTCATAATCCGTAGCTTTGCTTCAAGGCTGTACTGAATGCTAAGCCCCTGGATGAGATGCATAGCAATTCTATTCTTAGACTAACGCTTAGTCTCTGAATGCATATCATTTAGATAGAAACAAATAATTCCTATCAAAAAGGAGCCCCAGTGAGATGGGAGAATCGGAACCTGAACCTGAGTAAATCTAGATCTAGACTTGCTTCATTAAGGTCTTTGACATTGCAGGGAGGGCTAAGGGAAGGGGAAATGTTGCGTTACAGGGACTGTGTGACAGTCTATTCTAGTCAAGAAAAGCAGACAGGATACCAGTCTGTTAGAGGGACAGTGTGCACTATTTTGCATATTTTCTAGAAAATATAAACAATAAATTAATAATTATTGCCTGATAGACTTGCGCAGATTTAATCATTCTTTTTCAGTGAAACTATTGAAAAACCGCCTGTAACCGTGAAGATCCGGGTTAGAATTGATCTTCAGTAACCCATACTTGTCGTAAGAGGCAACTAACGGGATCGGGTGGTCAGGCTCGCTGACTTGGTTGACACATGTCATCGGTTCCCAATTGTGTAGATTGATGCTCATGATGTTGATCACTGGATTGTCTGGTCGAGACTCTATTATTTACAGACCGCCGCCATATAGCCGGACAAGAAACAAACAACCAAACAAATCCCGCTTGCTTTAACTGATTTTAATTATTTCAACACGAGGAGAACTCTGAGAAGACACATCGACCCATTATGGATAACTGCAATCAGGCCTACCAAAGAAAACTTTCCAACTGTTTGCAGAAAAAAGCAGAAAAGCCCGGCAATATTCCACCCCAAACAAATGTTGCCATTGATGTTGAAACATGAAGGCCACCCGGAAAGATCCGGGTTAGAACCGGTCACCCACGCTTGTCGTAAGAGGTCACTAAGCTTGTTGCGAGGGGCAACTAACGGGATCGAGTGGTCAGGCATGACTTGGTTGATGTACGTCATCGTGATCGCTGTGATCGATGTTCATGATGTCAGTCACTTGATTGTCAGTCTATTTATAGACCGCCTTTATATAACTTGAAAATTGGGCCTAAACAACGTTGAAACAGACATGAAAGGGGATTAAAAGAGACCCTGTGAAACAAACCCATATCAACATTATGACGTAACGCGCTTGGTAAGGTATGACGTCATATTCACAACGTCAAATGTATTGTGCGCCTATGCGTCATAGAGGTTCTATGAAGTGTTTCTGTAAGACTACCACGTTGTTACAAAATTATAATAATTAAACCACCTGTTAGCGTCTTATATGCCCCTTAGCCTCTTTAATTAAAATTCAGAACAGTCAGCCATATGGAAAGAAATATTGACAACATGAGCATCCATTAACACAACTCTCGGATACGGTGACATGCACGCAACAAAGGCAGCGAAAATTGTCACCCGATACCGTAATTGCCTCCCGTTACGACCAAAAGAGGTTGATGTGGATCAATTCTAACTTATTTTTTGTGGGTCTGATATTAAAAGATAAACCCCGTTGAAAATGTGTTACATCAAAACAACAAGGCTTCTATTGTCATACAAATAATATTGGAAGGGGTTTTGTCTCCACACGCAAACAAACATCCCGCCGGCTCGCTGTATTATATATAGATAATCTGAAATAGCGCTGACGAAATGAAACCCTCAAAAGAACTCCCAAAATAGCACATTCTAATCCCACCCGGTGTGGTGTTTCGAACCCAACCCGGAACCAGCAAGTCGAACTTTTACACTGATTTCTCCCATGAGGAGCTCCCTCTCGCGGCGAGTTTGCAAAGGTAGGCAACTGTCGAGGTACAACGGAGAATCAGACAGGCACGTTCGTAGAAGAAGGCTTTCATATTTTGGACTAGACCCACCAGGAGGACACGCGGTATGGAAAGGGAGATCAGAGGATGACGATGAGAAGAAATTTCGTCATCGGCCTGTTTTTGGTAAGTGTGATTCTTTTCCTGCTCGAGGAAATGTGCCCCGTCAGCTGATGTTACTTTCGAGGGATTTTGCTTGACGGATTTGCCCGTTTTAGATCTAGTTTTGACTGCTACTAGACACATTCAGACACTTTGGTCTACAGATCTGATTATTTTGTATGTTGTGTTGTGTGTTCTGGAGGCAACAGTGTCTCTGGCGTTTTTCTGATAGTCCCGAACAACAAGCTGTCTGCAAACAGGCATCCCAACTCATACGGGGTTCATCTCATAAGCTTTTCGGCGAATTTATACGTCTCCTATCATTTCACTCAATCTCTGGTATCGTTGTGTGAACTTGAAGAGAAGGTTTTTGTTATCGTTGTGTGAACAGTTTATGTCTTGAGTCGTGCTATTACTTGATTGATTTGACACGATTAAAGGGAACTTGGTGTTCGTTTATGAAGATTTCCCCTTCTAGTACAGTCTGTTTTGTGTGGACAATTTCCGCTTGATAACTTAGATATGTCACTGTTCACAGTACAGCATTTCATGTGTATGTGTGATATGTTATTAAATATCAGATATATTATTATATGTCACATATGTTACTAAATATCAGATATGTCATTTTATCTCAGATGTTCAATCCACATATTATAAGTGTATCAAAGACAACTGAATAATACTAACACTGAATATTATATGTTCTTTACTCAGTTTGGCTGAGTGAAACTTGATTATATCCAGACATTCATGTTCTGGACAAAATATAACAATCAGTAGTGTAAAATAATACTTCTCTCGCCTTGAAACAAGTAAGGGATTGTTTGTATTTTCTGGTTTTGAAAACGTGAAAAATTATTAATGGTTTTACTTAAGATATGAATAATTATTTACATAACATGGTTTTACATAAGATATACAATGAGGCCTAGCTTTGTGATTGTGTGCTGACAATGTTAGGTAATTTTATTTGGTTTTATTTCAATATTCAAATTCAGGAGCTAAAGCTGAGGCTATCTAAACATGCCACATTATTCTAGACTTGAGTCGAATTTACTTTCAAACCATGTCTACAGAAAGCCTAAGAGAGCAGGAGAGTAAACATGTGACATATTTGAACTTGTTGAAATTTTGATATATTACATGTAAAAAAGTCAAACTTTCCTATGTACGTAATTGATTTACACTGAACCAGACTAAATTTAGTAAATTTGAGCCTTTGTGGTCACGCTTCCTAGCACTCAGCTGTAAGGAGACAACATAGGATCTCATTGACTCGGAGTCAGTGTACTGACTACTCCCAAGAACAATCCTTATTTGGAACTGAGGTGATCTAGACTTGCCAAATCATTCAAGACGTGAGAAGGTCTCTTATAATTAGTGGTGTCTGTTAGTCTGTGTCACATTCCCTGAACCACGTCATTTTCCCTCACACATAGGGGTGGTGGGGTAGCCTAGTGGTTAAAGCGTTTGCTCATCACGTCAAAGACCCCGGTTCGATACCCCACATGGGTACAATGTGTGAACCTCATTTCTGTCCCCCGCCGTGATATTGCTGGAATATTGCTAAAAGTGGCATAAAACATACTCAGTCACTCACAAGTACACTCATTACTGTTTCAATATTTGTAGGGGCAGTGGGGTAACCTTGTAGTTGAAGCGTTCGCTTGTCACGCCAAAGACCCGGGTTCAAATCCTCACATCAAGAATATTGGGTATTGAATACAAGTCAGGAGCTGACCAGTATATTTAGTGAAACAATAACAAAATAAATTCTTTGACATGTTTTGACCACGTTCACAGTGTTAATTTATCATGACAATGAGTGAGTGAGTTTAGTTTTACGCCGCTTTTAGCAATATTCCAGCTATATCACGGCGGGGGACACCAGAAATGGGCTTCACACACATTGTACCCATGTAGGGAATCGACCCCGGGTCTTCGGCGTGAAGAACAAAGGCTTTAACCACTTGGCTACCCCACCGCCTCTATCACGACAATGAACAGTGACCACGTTAATGTCAAATATACAACAGTATTGGCTGTTATACTCACCAGTGACCACATTACTGTCAAATTAGATCGATAACAGTGTTGTTTAGTATCTAGTCTGTCTCACAGTCCCTGAACCATATTATTTTCCCCACAGCCTAGCCCTCCCTGCAATGCTGAAGCCCTATAGGAAGCCCGAAGTAATGCACAATGATCCTCCAACAGACTGGTATCCTGTCTGCTTTTCTTGACTAGAATAGACTGTCACACAGCCACTTCAACGCATTATTTCCCCTTCCGCCCATCCCTTTCTGCAGTGCTAAAGCTCCAAATGAAACAAGTCTAGATTTCCTCAGGTTCAGGATCTGAATCTTTGGTCTTCCTGGAGCTCCTTTTCAATGTAAATTCTAAGACAAATCGTTAGTCTATTGAGTGTCCCCCCATGAAGATCCGGGTTAGAATGTTGATCTTCAGTAACCCATGATTGTCGTAAGAGACGACTAACCTGATCGGGTGGTCAGACTCACTGACTTGTTTGACACATGTCATCAGTTCCCAATTGCGTAGATCGATGCTCATGCAGTTGATCACTGGATTGTCTGGTCCAGACTCGATTATTAAGATCGCCGCCATAGAGCTGGAATATTGCTGAGTGCGGTGTAAAACTCACTCACTCACTCACTAGTGTAAATTGTCAGCTACGGTCACAACACTGTTAGAAATGCCTCGGTAGGTATATATTAAATTTTAGCTTGTTTACATATTATTTGCAATACTCGACAAAAATTCTTGCATTTGATAACTAAAGAAGTTAAGATATATCTGTTCAAAAATAAATGCCAACAAAAGGACTGTTATGACTGTCCTGCATATTCCGTGAATCAAGCCGTATCCATTCAAGAATTCAGTATTGTATTTGCCACTATTGGAATTGAACTTTCATGAAAGAGTGTTTTATTGTGAATCGGGTGTTATTTAACAAAGTGAAACATGCAAAGTGGAATATATTCAAGTCACGCAGGATATTCAATAGAGTGAGTGAGTATAGTTTTATGCTCACAAAACATGCCTCCTCAATTGATGTTGAAATACCCAATAACTGTATCCAAGGAAGAAAATATACTCAGTTCACAAAGAAATGCAAATAACGTAAAACTGATACTGCGGTGAATAACGGGACTGATGTTTGCATATGAAAACATGCAAAGAAAACCTGTCCTTGAACACACAAATAATCTTTATTCAAAACCAGTCGGGTTTTGTGATAATGTCAGTACTAAGATAGATAATAATGTTGCTAGAATGTGCCATTTGATAATGTCACTCGAGATTCATGAGAAATGGCATCTATAGCCTCCATCAGCAGCCACTTTGATATCATCAGAACACACGACAAGAGTAAATGAGTATTGGACACACACCACTTCATATTCTTTATGTCTTATTTTGTGTAATTTCAAATATTGTAATATTTGTGTTACTTTTGATGTTTGGTATATATGTTGAACACTCAAATTAAATTCTCAGTTCCTAAATATTTGTAATATTCACGTTTCTTTTGATGTTTGGTATATATGTCGAACACTCAAATTAAACTTTCGATACCTAATCTGAAAAATAATTTGTGGATAAATACTCCCCAGCTCAAAGGATTTACTGGAGACTTGATGTAAGAAAATGAGCTATTGATTCTCTGAAGTATATTTCTTACCAGAATAGATGCGTCAATCTTTTGTATAACTTGCAATCTACAGATGCAATTAGTTTTCAGGACTCAAAGAGACAAACCGTTTTTTATCTCCAGACTTGCATTTTAGATTACTGAGACGGCCAATCGCTGTTCAGAGTTTTCTGTTTGAACTTTCCATTTATCATGTTTATAAAGTTTCATAGGATCTAAATTTGTATTACCAGGATATATTAGATCTGTTCAGAGAACAATATTTGATGTAGTCCGCAGCAAATGACAGTTAAGAAATTCAAATTTGAATTAAAATGTTCCTAATTCTTCACAATTTACAAAAGTGTGAACAGTAATCAAATACTTTTTTAACAGGAAGTAAATATTTTTTTAACGGTATTGTAATTTTATTTTTATAATTTTGCTGCCCTGGCACTGAGGTTATCTTGACAGATAAATCTCTGCTTTAAAACACTGTTATCTCACGGAAGAATGCCAGATAGGGTGTTTGACACTTCCGCTAGTCCACTAGTTAAGATGCATTCTACATCTGTCCGATATCAGCCATAATTATCCCGGTTGCCTTATCTCCATGCTTTAGATACCTTGGACCCATATGCCACAAGCTTTGTTTCAAAAAGTGATGTCATCACCTCCGTCTCTCTTATCGTCAACTTAACACAGAATTGATTTCATGACCTTGAGATCAGTGACCAATCAAACTGCATCTTTCAGAGGCAAGTTCGATAAAAAAGTCCTCATTCAAATCACATGACTCAGTGTTGGATGTAGTATGGGGTGGGGTGATGTTATTGTGGTTAAAGTGTTTGCTCGTCAAGCCAAAGGTCCAGGTTTTATTCCCCAATGTGTGAAACCCATTTTCTACTAATATTGCACTACAGTTTTGTGTATCAGGAAACGATAAAAAATATTATTTTAAGAAATCGTGTAGTTAACTAACTTGGCAATTTTCTTATACATTTGTATTCCATCAAATGAAAAAAATGGGGGAAAATCTTTACTGACCAATGTTGAAACATTTTGACCGAAATAAAACCCTAGTTCCTCGTAAGTACACTCATGGGCAGGAAATCTCCTGGTTGATAAATTATGGGTTTTTTTAGCTGATGGAAATAGCTACTTGGACTGAAGTTAGCCCCGTCTTTCATACAAGTATTTTAGCAATAAAACATGTCGTCACCATTGGCATCCCCCATTGCTCTCAAGTGGCTTACTGCATGTGTATATCAACTTGGTATCTCAGAGGTGTTGATACGACTTGACCTTTGAACCTTGAGGTCTGGATGGACAAGAGTATGTAAACAATGGCTGACCGATTAGCTGTGGG